TTTTTTTTTTTTTTGTGGCTGCCTGTGGCGTGGCGGCGGCGTCTAAAAAATATTGTCGCATATTTATGAACATGTGTAACAGATAAATCTGAATCTTTGGGCGCACACGTAAGTGATTTAGTTGTCAGGCGAGTGCATTTATTACAGCTGTGCCTGGGCGCTGTCTCTGGAGCCATGCCCATATGGTGGTCGCCCTGTATGTGTGTGTGTGCCAGCCGCCAGGGGGCGCTAGTAATCAAACTAATGAGCTGCACAAAAACCCGGCGAAAATAGCATTTAATGGATTTCAAATAAAACGAAAAGAAAACATAAGCAAAAGCCTAGCAATAAGTGGCAGGTAAACAAATGAGACAGGTAGAGAGCAAGAGAGAGCGGGCGAGAGTGAGATGGGCTGAGAGAGTGTGAGGCTAAGAGATTGTGTCTGCTCTGTGCCAAGTGAAGTGATAACACATTAAAGAAATGCATTTGAGGGGCGTTTGCGGTTTTGTTGTTGTCGTTGTTGTTGTTGTTTGTTCTTTGGCGCACTGCAGCGACACCTAGGGGTTGCTAATGGCAGTTAGCGCTAGCTGCAAAAGATGTCCTCGATGGCTGCCAAGATGCTGTGTGCTGCACTTAATGGCAAATGATAATGATTGATGCTCAAATGCAAGCAGCCCTTAAAGCATCTTGCAACACTTGCAGCGCGCTTTACACTCTTTGGATATTCGCAATTGGGGTTGGGCTTGAGCTTGGGAGGATTGGGGATTGGGGATTGGGGTTTAGGGTTTGGGGCATAGATGCTGGCAATAAGCAATCATTCAATGTGGCCACAATGGAGGCTCGGGCGTCTTGCATTAAAGAAATTGAAACGAGGGAGGGATGAGAAATGGGCGTAGATGAAGCGGAAGGGAAAAGGAGAGATAGAGTGAGAAAGGAGAGATGCAGAGAGAGAGAGAGAGAGAGAGAGAGAAAGAGAGAGAGAGATCGATCAGAAAAGATGGGTAATCTACAGATCTACCGATCAAAAGAATGCTTTCATTCTCTCTTTCTTCTTTTGCAGCACATCCTTAAGCGTTGAGCAAATGCAGCCGCCTATATCAATATCAATATCAGGGATGATATCAATATCAGGCCTTGTCATAAGTAAACACAGGCAACAAGAAAGTCATAAAAATATATGTACATATAACAAAAGCTGTGGAGGACCGGCTCTCAAGCCGAAACCCGATGCCATGAAAAGACACTGCAATGGGCGAGCTGCCTTTAAGGACAGCGGTAGATGGCAAGTGTAAACAAACAAAGGAAGAGCAGGGCAGCAAATTGTAGGCGTTAAAATTGTCATGTCAATATTTTAATGATATCACTTTACAGCCACTACCCAACCGCTTAGGCAGTCTATATAGTCCGTCGTCTGCAGTTCAACTCCATCCAATCAAAGTGTCTTGCGCAAAGTTTCATTTTAACTTTTTCTATGCAAAAAAACCAAACAAACAAACGAAAAAAAAAAATCTAAAATTTTTTTTTAGAGTTTTTGTTTTGGGAAATTTCCTCGTGGCTTTCGAGTCAAATCCCTTGCATATTTTTGTTCTCCCTCTCCCACTCACTCTACCCGTCTCTCGTTCTCTCTCGCTCTCTGCTCTTTCTTGTGCGTCGTGTAAAGAAGAAGTCAAAAGTCCTTTTATTTATTTTTTCGACTTTTTTCTGCTGCTGCTGCCGCTGCTGCCGCTGCTGTTGTTGTTGTTGTTGTTGCGCTGGGACGCTCATTTGTTTGCCTTGTATTTCCTTCTGTTTTCACTCGCTTGTTTTGTTTTTTGTTTTTTTGCACTTGTGTTTGGCTAGAAAATTACAAGAAAAGTGCGCTAAACTGGCTGGCAGTGCTGTGTGGGTGGGTGGGCGTGGCACTGTGGGTGTTTTGTTTACTTATGCAAGTGTTTTCTCAATTGTGCGTGCGGACAGCCCAGGGAGCTGGCACTGGCGTAAAAGCGAAAAGGGGCAAGGGGCCAAAGGGTCGACAGGGGGGCGGGGGGGCGAGTCAGGGAGTTCGGTCAGTCGTGCGTCGTCGTCTGCGGTTGGAAATTCTCCTTTTTTTTTTTTTTCATTTTTGAGCTGGCTTTAGGGTTGCCTCCAGTTAGTAATTTTTTTTTTTTTTTTTTGGTGGGCGGCTGGCAACATTTGTCTAATCTTAACGGTTTTACATTTCATTGCGCCGGGCAATTGGCACGGCTCGTGGAGTGGCCGCAGACAGTTTATTAAATTAGCTAAAGCAATGTCTTGGAGAGTGTATTTCAGGCACTTACCTCTTTGTCTTTGGCAGCTAATAGTACAGCGGGCTGATTGTTGTTGTTGTTGTTATTGTTGTTGTTGCTGGCGTTGCGCTTTTTGCGCTTCTCATTGCTGTTGCTGTTGTTGTTGTTGTTGTTGTTGTTGGTGTTAGTATTATTGTTGGTGCAATCGTCATCCTCGGCGCTATGTGCCACATGTTGCTCATTTACATTATTATCACGCAGTGCAACATGTTGCGTTTCACTGTTGTTCTTGTTCTTTCGACTACAGCTATCGGCATTGTTGTTGTTGTTGTTGTTGTTGTTATTGTTGTTGTTGTTCACACTTAAACTAGCTACCAGCTCATCCTGTTGCTCATCGGCCGGCACATCGGCATCGGCATCGGCATCGATACCTCGCTCATCGCCCTCATCATCATCATCGGCATCGTGTTGATCATTGTTGGCCGCAATTGCATTCGCATCGGCAACATTTTCAGTTCTTGCCAATGTCGGCTCGACGGCAGCAATGCTGCCCGTATCAGCCACATGCTCCGGCTCCAGCTCCATATCATCGTCGTCTAGATCGCCATCGGCATGCGCCACATTCGATTGCATCGATGCGTCCTCCTCGTCATCGTCCTCATCGTCATCGTTGCAATTGCTGCTGGCTATCGGCTCAGCAATATCTCGTGCTGATTGCTGTTGTGTGGCTGCTGCCCCAGCAGCAGTTGCTGTTGCTGTTGCCGTCGTTGTTGTTGTTGTTGTTGTGCTTATTGCAGTTGCCGCGATGGGCGAATGCATTGGCGATTGCTGTTGCTGCTGTTGCTGGGCTGCCGCTGCTGCTGCCCGGGCCGCCGCTGCAGCAGCCGCTGCCGCCTCCATCATCATTTGCTGGGCGTGATTGAAGAAGAGCTTGGGATTCAAGCAAGCGCCGCCGACGCCGACGCCGTTTTGCAGGCTGCTCTGCAACTGTTGCTGCTGCTCGGCGCTGAGCAACGGCGGCGATGGCGACGGTGTATTTGTGTTGGCCAGCAGATTGCCGCCGTTCTGTTGCAGCGTTATGGCCGCTGCAACAATCGAGCTATTCAACAGCTTGTCGCTCTCGCCCTCGCTTCCTCCAGTGGCTTCCTCTTCGCCGCTGGCCAATGATGTTGCTGCTGCTGCTGCTGCTGCTGCTGCTGCTGCCGCTGCTGCTGTTGCTGTTGCTCCTGCTGTTGCTCCTGCTGATTCGGATGTGTTGTTGTTCTCGCTGTTACTGTCGCTGTTGCTGCCGGGCGTGCCTGTGGATAGTTGCTCCTTGAGTGTGTTCACTTCCTTCTCGGCTAATGTAGCGCGCTGTAAATAACGGAAAGAGAGAGAGAAAGGGAGAGAGAGATATAGAGATAATGTGAGTAAAGAGTGTCAGCTTAGTCTGGCCATATGTTTGTCGTTGCCAAAAGGCAACTATCGACCCTCATTAATTTTACTTTTAAAGTCATTACGGGTTAAATTTAGCCAAATTAATACGTTGCCAAACTTTTGCCCAGCCGACAAAAAAGGCTTAAAAAGCCAACAACGAATTGCTGTGGGCCCTCTGCAATGCCCATTCGCATTAGCAACAGCAGCAGCAGCAACAAACAGCCGACAAATTTATAGTTTATCGTTGGTATCGATAAGCCAACTTGGAATTTTAGTGCTATTAGCGTTGACCTTCGCCAGAAGGGGGAAGCCAGACGACGACGACGACGACGACTTGCTTGAAATCAAATGCCAAATGAGAAATTAAAACAACAACAGCAGCAACAACAGCAACAGCGACAAAAAAAAAAAAAAAAAAGACGAGAGAAAGGTTACAAAAATATGCGGTGCAAACTTTTTTGGCAAATTAGTCTGGGCCCAGGACCCAGAGCCAACCCCATAGAACCAGAAGCAAAACCAGAAGCAGAGCCAGAGCCAGCCCCAAAAAACTCACTGGCAAATCTGAGGCGTGGGCCATAGCTTAGTCAGGTCCGGTGCAGTGTCCTCTCCTTGGCTGTAGCCAAATCGCTTCGACTACGACTTTTCCTCCGCCTTCAGATGGCAATGACTTTTGGGGGCTCTTTGGCTTCGATTTTCTGTTGATTTGTACTTGTTTTGGTTTTTGAGTTTTGTGCAATTTTATTTGTATAAATACCGGAAGCCGATGAGCGGCTGCCGGCGGGGGCTGCCGGCCGCCAGGGCGTTGCAGGCAATAAAGAACTTTGGAAATTAGTCGATGGGCATATCGTTGCTCTATTGCCAAAAAGAAAAGAAAAAAAAAAAAAAAAAATAGAAAAAAAAAGAAGCGTAAAGGACGCTTCACCGTAAGCCTTTGCAGTTCTTATAGCACTTTTTGCCTCAAATCGATGAGAACGTCGACCCCCGTCCCCGTTCCCTCTCCCTGCCACTGGAAAACTTAAGCAGGAAGTCGTTATAAGGGTCGGGTTAAGACTGAATTGCAATGCAGTTGCTGTGGACTGGCGAAATGTAAACGATTAGGAAAAGTCCTTTTGAACTACTAGAACAACTTTTGTGTGTCTGTGTGTGTTTGTGTGTGGTTGAGCTAGGACAATAGTTGAGCCACGCTCAATGAAAGAAGATAATGTTGCGGTTTTAGGCACTCGACGAGATGTCAGACTGCTCGATCGGGGCTCGATTGAAGAGGGAAGATGACATAGGGAAAGCGTCTTAAGAGCAACTATTTGTGGGCAAAGTTTTTGTAATTAGAGCTGAGCCAAAATTCCAGAGCAATCTGATGAGGCTAGAGCAGAGATCTTACGATAAGCTAGATCTTTTCAAACAGTTAAAAAAACATAAAAGTCGAGGTCAGAGGTCGACTCTTTCCCAGAATAAGACCTTCCCGAAATAGCTTTAAGTTCATGTCTCCTTGGCTGATGCATTGAGCTGTATTAAATTATTTACAACTTTGGCTAATTCCAACTAGGTGAAATCTGGGTTGTTTGTTGTCTGTCACACAGGGCCTTGAAAAGCCTTGAAGAGTTAGAAACTTGGCAGATTGTGTATTGGTTTAAAATGCAGCTAAATGACTAGAGACTGCCTCGTCGAGCCGCAGGAATTTGCTGTCTTTATTTATTTATTGTTGCTGTTGCTGTTGTTGTTGTTGTTGTTGTTGTTGCTGTTGTTGCTGCTGTGTTTATCTTTTTTCTTGTAGATGAATGGCCCTCGAGGCATATTTGTCAACATCATCAGCAAACGAAGCGAACCCGAACTCAAACCAAAAACCGAACCCGCAGCCAAATGTAACGTTAGCAGGAGCCGCAGGGGCAACCAACGAAAAAAGGGGGGGGGCGTGGCGGTGTGGATGTGGCGCAGTCTCGGTCTCGAGCTCGACTCGTCGCATAGATATATATTTATGATATTTAAAAGCTCTTAAGTACAAACAACAGACAAGCGACTGGGACTGGGACTGGGACTGGGAGTGGGACTGGTGAATGTGAACCGTGGGCAGGGACTGGGGCTGGGGGCAGGGGACAGCGGCCAGGAGGAAGCTGCAGTTCTGTCCTTGCCGAGGACTTAAAATGCCAGACAGCCTTCAAAAGCGCGCTGGAGCTCGGATGGGGCACAGATTTTCATGCTGACTGTTTCGTGGCGAATGTCTGTGTGGCTCATGCTTCGGTTGCTGTTGTTGTTGCTGTTGTTGTTGTCGCCGCTGAGCTGCTTAAGCTTGAAAATTGTTTTCATAATGCCAGGCGGTCGATGCAGAAACAAAAAAAAAATTGTGTGCTTCTTTTCTTTTGCAACGTTTCTTTGTTTTGCTTTTATTTTTTTTCTGACTTTTTGTGACGAAAATCAATCAGTGGCTGCCCAACTGTGCGCTGCCAAAACTGTGCTCAGGTTGTTGTTGTCTTGGCGCGCTTGGAAATGCAATCCCCGTGAGAAAGGCGGCACTTGTTGTGCCGGCCAGCAAAAACTAGCTGGCCAAATTCTCAGAGCAAATCAATTAATGTGGAGCAGGAGACGGCAAATGGAATTCGAATTGGAGCTGGCGATGGCGCTGGAGCTGCTGCTGGAGTTGGAGTTGATGGGGCTACTGTGTGCTCAGCCTTTTGTGGCCCAGTTCGAGCGGCTTAGCAAGCAGTTGCCAACCAAATGAGTTAATTAACTAAAATGCGGGTGGCTTTATATATCTATATAT